TTGTCACATCATATAAGCATAAAGGCTTATTTGATGGCTTGCATCCTACGCTAAATTAAGTTAAGAGTAGCCCCATATTCTGGATCACTTGGATAATTAATCATGGTTATTTCAGTGGATAAACTGAATTAATACTAAATTAATGACAACGAATATACAGAAATAAAGTACGCATTTTTATTTCATTTAATTGGATTTTGGGTGTGATGCACGTGGTCTTCTCTATGAAAATTAGAGAACACAAGTTAGCCCGTTGGGTGAGCAGAGAGGCCCAGACCAAAAGACGTCTAAGAATGTTACGCTTCCATATAAAGGCGGCTTATATTTTTGTACGCACTTGTTGACATTGGTGCAAAAGACAGAGACGTGACACGTGAAGAGTGAAAAGGATTTTCTTTTTTTTTTTTTTTGTTTTGGGATATTTGAGGTCATAGCCGATAAATGTCTTTGCTAACTATTACAATTAATGGTACCAATAAGTGCAGCAAAATTACGAGCCAATAAGTGCAGCAAAATTACGTGTAAAAAACGAGTATAAAATTTATACCCGTCTTAGCTTAACAAATTTTGAGCTGAAAGCTTAGACTTTTAATTAAGAGGCGTTGAATTAAAAATCTGATAGATATTTATGTGTATATCAGATTTGATACCTCATCCATCATCCCTTATAACGGGCTCATCATATCCATCCAAAAAGACAATATTTGACGACTTGATGTTTTCGGAACTCCTCTCGACACCGAAGTAATCCAACATGAAAATTTTTTTGTTCTCAACTGCACATGCCTCACCCTGTTCTGCAATGAAACTTTCGAATTGGGCTTCGTTGAGCAGGAAGCCCCTTCAAACGGAGCCATAATCAACTAAGAAAAAAAAAAACATCAATATGTGAAGGCCACTTGTGTCATACTTATAAAAACACATATAAAAAATCCTCTAATAATGCAAGTTTTCTAAAAATCTTATAAGAGAATGTAGAAAGTCACTAAAATACATCAAAAGTAAAAAGCCTCACAAGAGATAGTTTATGTAATAATATCAAAATAGGAAGAAAATGATGCACAAAAAAGACTAATATGTAAAATATTTGATCAATGAATTCTCTTTCAAACATTACGAAAATTTAAAAAAAAAAAAAAAAAAAAAAAACTCATTTATTTGAAAGCTTAAATAGAATTTTTTATAAAAATAATGCTATTTAAGAACCGTGGACGATTAGTCACTCAAAGATCTTGCTAGAGAGAATACTTTGTGAAATATTTTCAAAGTTCAATTACTTACGAAGCATATACCTATTTATTGGAGCAACTAATAAAAAAGTTTATTAGGAATCATCTTTCCTAAATCAATTTATTAGGAAAAGTGGGTAATTCATGAGAATTACTTTTCTAAAGGAGTATCCATGCAAAGTTAAACTTATTTTGGCAAGGCCATAAATTTTAATGAACTCTTAAAATCTAAAGTAAACAAAATAAGATAGTAAGAAAATCATTGTTTGCATTCCTTTTACTTTATCAAATAATGATATGTTTACATGCACCACAGAAAATTACACTCTTAGTGTCGGAGATTTCAGAAGCTAATGAAGCCTCTAGTCCAACAACATATTTACATAATGATTAGATTTTTACATATCTACAAATAACAACCACAATGCAAACATAATAGGAGAAGAAATCTCCAACATATTTACATAATGATAACAAATTGGATTAAATATGAACAAATTAATCTATTCAAAGCTCACAACATAAGAGAATCAAAGTTTGATTAAGTAGAAATGAAAAAAATATATACAGTCAGCCCCTACGTTGTGGGAACAAATCAAACTCTTAATCTTCCTTGCCAACATCATCCTGCTATTCTTCCTCCTCCTCCTCCTCCTCAGTCACTCATATGCCACTTGCCCCCAAAGATTAAAACTCACCGTTAGACGTGTCAGACTATATACATCAATCTACTGGCCTTCACACACCCATCAAAGCTCTTTATTCATCGTCATCGTACACCTCACAAGCTCCTTGTGTTGAGCATGTATTGAGTTGCTGGGGCTACCGACATTTGCACGAGAGCACTCAGCCTCAAATGCTATCCCCTTTTGTTTTAGGTCACAAATTCTTCCCTTCTTCTTCCCCAGCGCCTGCGTCCACAACTCAAAATCGGACTGGCTACAACTGCTGCTTACGGACAACGATGTCTGGTTGGCCATCTCCCTCTATCTCTCCTGAAGCTGCTTGTACTCCTCCAACATAACAAAATTCAAACATTAATTTGCATTTCAAATATTAATTTACATATTAATAGCACCACAAAAATATAAAATGAAACCTTTAATGCTAATTTTGAGCAATTTTAAAAATTTTGAGCAAAAATGTTACAAAAAGTTTTAGCAATTTTTGATCTAATCGAAATGCCAACTAAGAAATAAATGTGAAATTAAAACTTAGAAGAATTTTAATAGTTCGCAATCTCGAGTGAGAATTACATTGGTGTTTAATAATGGCTGTGTTTTGTAATTTTTTCAAAATTAAATTTCAAATCACAAATTTGTTTATTGACATATTTTGTTAGACTACATATTCTTTAATGTTAAAAACAAAGAGATAAATGACATGCCATTAAATGCCTCCTCCACCCAAGTATAAATCTTGAAGCTTGATGCAGTGTTTGAATTGAAATCTTTTGGAAATAAATTTAGCCAAAATCATTCTTTAATTTCAACAAAATTGTAGTCAAATTGAACATTTTAACAAGATAATCTCCAAATCTCCAAAAGTAATCTAATCTATGTTTAAATGAGCCCAATTCAAGAGCTTTATAAGTGAGTGAAAATATCGAGATGTTGATGGAAGATTTATTTGAATCTAATCAGTGCCTTTATTGACAACTATTTTCATCATAACAATAAAGATTGGTATATTATTGTCTTATCAATTTTGTAATCTAAAAAATTATAATCTCAAGCAACACAATGTGTTATCTTGTTTGAGCTGAATCATTTTTTTTTCTTTTCTTTTGCAGTTTTTCAAATAGAAATTTTGATGTTGCTTATCCGTTTTCTTTTCATTTATTTATTTATACAACCTTTATATAAAAGTAGAAGTCCTTACTCTAATGGTATGAATTTCTTATAGCATTCAATAATACTTATAAATTTAAATAATATGTCAATGTCACATCTAATAATAATAAAATAGGTTATACCATTTAAATTTGGAAGATATTTTTGATTTTACACGTCTAGTTTAATTTTATTGACAAATCAATATCCTTGGCCATGCACAAAATTTATGTCATAACCAGTCTAATCTAAATGAATGATGATCACATTTAGTTGGTCGTCAAATGGTTAATGTTATGATCTCTCAACATAAGTATGACGAAAATGGATAGTTTTCCATTCTAAAGAATATTTTATTTGAAAAGCAAGATTCAAATTAATTCATACATGAGTTACATATATAAATATAGGTTAAGTTTGTGATCAAATAGCTCAAAATTTTCATTCCTTAAGCCTTCACAGTGACTTACGTCATCCCCCTAAAAAATAAATGAGATATAGTATTGACTACGAATGAGATGGTGGCCCGACGATTGGACATTTTCTTCCATACCAAATTATCCCAGGATGTGAGTAATTATTGGAAAAACTTAACACTCATGATGCAATCACAATTTTTTAAATTGCATAACTTCCTGAGAGTTCATGAAGTTGTATCACACTTTAATCAGAATATTTTAAATGCAAACGATATCATATCCAATAAATGCATTCATAGCTATATATAACATCTCTATTGTCCGTATATATGTATTTAATAAATTTACTACTTTGGCTGGTAACTTTGCCTCAATCTAAATTTTTTTTTGTATCTTTTTGTGCATCAAGAAGGTGTTAATGCACATCTCCTAGGTATCCAACGGTCTAGAATGAGGAAGCATTGTGAAGATAGATCCCCAACAAAAAGATTACGGGACCGGTCGAACCGACCAAACCAAGCCAACCGAGTAAAAAATTGATGTAAGGATGGCCAATCAGTACCAACCAAGCAGCTCACCTGGAAGTTTCCTAGAAGAGGGTCGGTATTTCCAATCAATAGTAAGAAAACTCGATGCAAAATTTTATATCTCAGAAGTGCAAGGCCTACTGAAGGGCCAGTTCCATAGAGCATCTTTGACCACCCAACAAAGCCATAAGACCTTTCGTTAGAAATATGTTCTAAGTCAGCCAAGCTTAGCCAACTGAGTTGAGTCGATCAAATCTTTTTAATCAGGACAATCGATCGAGATCTACCGATCGGGCTAATCACTGAGCTAAGCCGACAATGCTCAGCCGACCGAGCTGAGATGAACGAGCCAAAAATCAAGGAGATGATGAGTGTCACTTATAAAATACCGAAATAATTTAGAGTAATCCTCGTTCAGATGGGGGAAAAAATGTAAAATCACTATTGTTCCAATTCCTCTATGAATTGAGGTGCATTTAATGAAGAGGGTTATAAGATTTTTATTGTTGATTCCAAATATTATAGCTCCACACACACACTCTCTCTCCTTGTATTTTAATTTTTGCTTTAGTGTTCTATTTCTTATTTCTTAGGTGTAATTCACAGATAATTTTGAATTCAACAATTATTAAATTAAACTAAAATTTTTAACTTGCTTTAATTCAAAAAATCCGTCTAAAATAGTCATTTTTTAATGTTTTTTAAAAATGATTTTATTTTCTTAAAGTGAATTTCTTTTGAGTGGTGAAGGAAGTTCACCCGCACCCGACTCACCCTATCCGCTCTCATTACCTTTCAGCCGCGCGCCCTTTCAAAAATCAGTTTCCCCGTTCCGCGGCTCATTGTTACTTATACTGTTCTGCCGTCGTGGAACGATTTTAAGTGTTACAGATTTACTGCACGTGCGGGCCCATTGAAGAAAATAAAGGTTGGCACGGGTACGTTACACCGGCCGCAGAACCTTGCAGCACTATATATATAATTACCCAAGAGAAGAAGCTGCTTCAGTTATGTTCAAATCACTTCACCTTCTTCACCAAACAAAGGGATAAAGGAATTGGAGGGAGTGGGAATCATCGGGAACCGTAGCCTTTATCGGCGAAGGTGGTGGAGGAATCTGGCGTTGGTGGTTCACTAGGAGATCGATATATACGATCCGATTCGATACGATTTGAGTGGGGATGAGATCGACGGAGCGAAGCCAAGGAGGAGAGATGGAGCTTGCTGGTGCCAGAGTTTCGGTGCCGAACAATGTGCCCACGACGACGACGACGATGACGACGACGAAACCAATAAGCCTGGTGAGGCTCTTCTTCTCATGTATGGTTGCAGGCGGTGTGCAGTACGGATGGGCTCTGCAATTATCTCTGCTGACCCCCTACGTTCAGGTTTGCAGATGAAATTTCGCTTTCTAAGCTTTTTGTTTTTGAATTTTTTTCCTTCGCCGAGTTCCATTTAGTTCTTATGTTTTAGCATGCCTTTGTTTGAGTTTCTGGTTTTGGCCCGTTTTCTTAATTGTAATTTTTTGGAATCCGTTTTGTCTTCTTATGTCGGCAGGTCCTTCTATGCTTCATTGTTTATTTTGTGAAAATTCTCTAATTCATATTGAGCTTCGGCTCTTAAATTTAAGGAATCTTTTTTCACTTAATTATGATTTTGGAACGATTTTTTCTTTTATTATTTTACGAAAAAAGGTTTATTTACAATTTTTAATTATGTGATTTTTGAGAGGTGATCGGGTCACTTTTAATTTGTTGGTTTAGATTTATGGTGTGATGGGACGCTTTGAATTTTGGGTTTCCTGTGGGTCACCCTGCTCCGGAAAGCGTATGTGGGCGTCCTCTAGTTCGCCAAATCACGTTCGTGTTGTCAGAGGCTCGAGAAAAGCGCCTCTTTTGCTTCTTATGTTCTTCTGTTCAATTATTAGGTGTTGATATGTAGATATCTTTCTAATGGTTTTTCCACCATTATTACTGTTTTCACTCAGATTTAACACGTTTGTTTTTTTGTATGTTAATTGCATGATTTTATTTTTTTTAAATTTTGCAATACATATATTTTTTTTGCTTTTTCAAAATATATAATTACTTTTATTATTATTTTAAAGAATCAATGCTGCGTATAATATCATCAGCGGGTAATTATTTTGATGAGTAAAGTTTGAATTTTGAGTTAATAATCTCTACTTTAATTTCAGTAAAGTTTGTCGGTCTATCTCGTAAAAAAATTACATGGCTTATGAGTTTTATTTTAAATTTTGTTGGCAGTATATTATTCCTCTATTTTGATTGTTGTCTTAGAAGAAAGAACAGCAATTATATAAAATTGTTTATTTTGTAAATTAAATTAAGCTAAGATCATTCTCAACCAAATTATATATATATATATATATATATCCTTATTTTATTTTGATAGGATAAGGTTGTTGTTTTGGGCTCAAAATAGTTACTTAAACTTACATGGTGCTTATCACCTCACTCTCATGCAGCGCTATCAAAAAAAAAAAAAAAAAAGCTAGTCATCCACGGACAATTTATATTTGACTCGTTAGATAGCTCGTGTTTCTTTTATTCATGAAACAAAAGAGTCAAACACAAATAATTTTTTTTTAACTTAATTTATAAATGAGTCGAGCATGAACAAAAATTTTTCCGTCCGTGTTGAGATTATTTTGATTTGAAAAAATTAAATAAATAAATATTAATATTATTTTTATCCATCTTATATTAACTTTTTATATGTATTTGAATGATGCTAAATTTAATTATTGGAACCGATCTTGTCCTTTGTGGATCAAGCTCCGAGAGTTAGAGTTGCGTAGAAGAGAGAATTAAGGGAGAGTAGAATAAGCCTGAGACTTTTTTAAAGGAAAATCAGGAAAAATATCCTTTTATTCGTACTTTTATCCCATTCTTATATAGATGTGTTTTATACAATTTTGGAAAAGATGAACGATTATGAAAACCGTTCTTAATATCATTAAAATTTTAATTGATTGTCTAGATTTTATGTCATATTTGTATTAAGATTTAAATTTCCACATTGACGATAATTGACTTGTCGGCTAGCTTGAAGTCAACCGACTGAGGCCACTAACCGAGTGATATTTGTACCCTCTGGAGTACGTGTTAGTAGGTCGAGGTGTTCAGCTGTATGTTGATCTTGCCCGGTGTCTTTAGGCACGATCGACCAGAGCCATCGGTTATGAGGTGGTCGTTCGGTCCGGACGCGCGATTGGTCGAATGTGATCAGTTAGCTTTTTTAATATCGAGTCCTGACTCATTTTCTGTTCGGCCAGAGTCTTACAAGGCTCGTGGCTCACCTGTCTGGTTGATTCGTAACCTCGGTCAGATCTCCCAATCTTGGAAATCTTAAGTAGCTCTTGTCGCAGTCCACGCGAGGTATCCAACAAGACTTGCTACTGGGATGATTTATGCCTCACTTTTGGCGCGTTTTGCCGCTACTGAGCAGGGAACTATGTTCGAAGCTGTAACCTATCGCGGGTTTGGAGACGCGGCTTCATACTCGGTATTTGAGTGATTGCTTACCACGAGAAGGGGCCATTTTCTCTTGGTCATTCGTTTTCATTGGTATATATATTAATTATTTTGTTTTTGTAATTATAAAAAAAATATAAGTTGAAGTGTTATATATAAATAAATACATAAGATTGAGTGGTATGTATGAAATATCTCTAAAAATTATATAAATTTCTACTCTAGAAAAGATTGCCGCTGAAGTTTCCCTTACATGGTGAGCTTTCGAAAAGCAATGGATGAATTCCCCCATTTCGTCTTGGGTGAAACGAGCCGAACCAGACAAAAATATTAATGCAAAATTTTTTTATTTTAATTTTATTTAAAAATTATGATTATAATAATTTTTTATTTTAATAAATCAAGTTTGAGCTAAAGATGAGCTGATTTGAATATGAAAAGCATCAAATAAATTATTTTGGAACTATTTTGAACACTAATCGAATTGGAGAATTTCATATGAGCTGGGCTAAAGCTAGCTCAAACTAAGTTTCTTTACGGGAAAAATTATTTTATACGGATAGTATATACAGAAATATATATGGTGTCTAATTTTTACTGTCCATCATAATAATTTTTTTTTCTTAAAAAAAAAATTTAAAGTAGGGCTATCGTCGTACATCTTTGCTCTGATGGAGCAAATGTATCTCTGCATACGATAATTATATGTACTCGATGTACTCGAAATAATTTTTCGCTTTACGGCGGGGCCGTACTCCGGTGTTTGTGGATTTAATTACTTTTGCGATCATTCAGCACAAAAATCGCTCTCCTCAGGACCAGCACGTGGGACTTTTTTCGAGTAAATTAACAATTTCCACTTTTTTTCACTCATTAGGGTGTTTTTTCTTTTTTTTTTTAAAGAAAACTCGTGCATGTGCATAGAATATATATATATATATATATATATATATTTAT